TATATATGCCTAAAGTGTCAAACAGAAATCTTAACCAATGCTAAAATCATCTCCTGTGAACACTTATTTTCTTTGATGGAGATGAAGAAAGAGGGGGCTAGGGAAGAGTTACTTTTACTCTATAAAGTTTTCTAATTTCTAAATCTATCTTCAAGTTTTATTTAGAAAAAATTTATTCCAGAGTCAAAAAATGTTATGAAAGAAAGAAACAACTATATCTACAACAAATTGTCTTTGTTTTTTTGCCATATTGCATACAAATTTTTAAAAGTAAAGATTAAAATTCCAAGTTAAAATTAAAAACCTGATCTGTTTAGAACAGAGCCGAGATGGTGAAAAGAATGTGATAAGTCATTAGCTATTTTGCTCATGTAATTATAAATGAATATTTTGGAGAAGAAAGAGATCTCACATTCAAGTTTGTGAGTCATTGGTGAACTCTGTAGAGCGTTTGTTGACTAATACCTACTGCCTAGTTAGACCATCCCACTAGAACACATACTGAACAAAAACATCTTTATCTGAAACCTTGTTATAGCATATCAAGGAGCTTCAGATTTCAGTGTCTAGGAGGCCTTGTTACATGATGTGATTGTGGTGAAACTATGAACTACATAACACTTCTTGTCAGTTACCTGTGTGTTATCTCTCAGGTGCTCTGGCTTATAAAATTGTTGATTTCAGATCATATCAAACTACACTAACTAGGGTTGGCTTTATGGAACCATTTGCTATATTAAATTCAGGCTTCCTTTATCATCTGCTGAATTTATTGACAGCTTTTAGTGGAAAACTCACAATCTCTAGGTATACAAAAAAATACACATGGGTTATAAAACTTACTTTAGAATGGTGGGCAAGTTATTTAACATTTCTGAGCCTCTGTTTGCTCACAAGTAATGGACCTTCCTCAAAGGATAATTGGAAGTAATGTCTAAGGTAGGACAAGTCTGCAGCCCATGTAGCACATGACAGAATAAATACCAGCACATTTCCAAAGGAGTGTGCTTATTCTTCCTATCTATCAAGAAATACAATTTTATGTTTCAAGTTTTCAATTTTTTTTAAACTTGATAATTTCACAAGCTCAAACAATTTTTTGCGTTTTCAGCAAAACTTAAAAAATTAAAATGCTTCTCTGAAACACACACATGTATAAGTATAATGTGTATTTATATAAAAATATTACCTACCAATTATTAAAAGTGATAACATCTCAGATTAAGTAGCATGAGGATTTGATTAAGAGTCAAGTGCTGACTTGAAACATAGTAATTTATATATTCCAGTTGGATATTATCAGTTCTATAGTCTAGTAAAAGCCAAGAGGTTTCAGTTTAGGTTTGTAATTTAAATTCTTTCTAGAGAGTCATCATATGTAGAGTGCTTATTTTTCTTTTATCGCTAGCTATAATGTATGATTATGTGGTAAGGGCTCTGTTATGTAAACTTGTTTTATGTCATGCTTCATCCATAACCAAAGTTCTTAAGTAAAGGGTTGGTAAAGGAAATAGCAAGGCCCTCAGCCAGGACATTATGCTACTATGGAAAAATCCTTAGACTAGATCATTTTAAGGTTTTAAATTTTGTTGCAGTGAAACAACTTATCCACTGTTAAAGTCCATTAACGTGATTGTGCATCATCTGACTAAAAGATCAATGCATGGCGGTTTAAAAGGGAAATGAGTAGAAATGTGAAGAAAATGGTGAAAATGGCAGAGTTAGCTATCTGCAGAAGAGGATTTGTAAAGCTTCTACTAAGGGAAACTTAGGGGAATCTCTGGAATTGCTCAAACAACTAGAGTGGAGCCCCATTCCTGGCATATAACCTCAGGAAACTGTTATGTGCCTATGTTGAGAAAAGAGCAAGGCACTTCAGGACAAGTAGAAATCTGAATGGAAACTAATAAAAGAGCAATTATCATATTCCAGCTCATCTCCTCTGTAAGATGCATCTTTATTTTATGTGACATCAAGAAAGAAAAAAACGCAAGTAATGGGCCTTCCTCAAAGGATATTTGGAAGTAATGTCTAAGATAGGACAACTACAATTACATTTTGACACAGGTCAATGAAATAAAGTAAGTTTAGGAATGTTTTAGGCAGAGACCCCTCTGTTTCATCAGACCCTAGCCAGAGGGAGCTGCTCCCTGCAGGAACAAACAAGGCTTTTCCCTAACTTGGACAAAGTGTCTCATAGGTTCATCTCATTATTTTTGTTCTTTTCCAGGTTTCATAAGGCAGCCTGCCAATAACTAAATTCATATTCTCAGGGACATAAAATCTAAGACAGTCTCGATCTTGACAGCAATCATGTGATTTTGGCTACTGTGAGTACAGCAATCCCTCCTAGTTTCACTTTCTGTAGTTTCAGAATCTGTGACCTATACTGGGATAGTACCAGACCCCACATACATAGTACAAAAGGTATTTGAAGGCAAGAGAGAGAGACCACATTCACATAACTTTTATTACAATATATTGTTACAATTGTCCTATTTTATCATGTTATTGTTATTAATCTCTTCCTATGCCAGTTTATGAATTAAACATTTTCATAGTTATGTATGTAGAGGGAAAAATACTATATAGTATAGTATAGTTTTTGGTATTATCTTTGGTTTCAGGTATCCTCTTGGGGTTTTGGAACGTATCCCCCATGGATAATGCAGGATACTATATTCCCTGGTAGCCTGATCTAAATAAACTGATAAGGAACAGCACTTAGACCTCCCATATGAGGATTAGGCAGAGTCCAGGGGGACTCACAAAGTACTACCAAGACTTATCTGGCAGGTGGCAGAGCTCTCTCATTAATACTTCTGCAATTGAAATATGGGGTACCCTTCATTATCCTTCAGCTTTGAACTCTGATTTCAGAAATATAGGGCTAAAAATTTGATTGTAGTAATTTTAAGGACTAGAGGAAAATGTTACACATAGGAGAATTCGGTAGTGTAAAACCCTGGTGT